TATACATGCTTATCATATTTCACATTTTGTTTTCCTCTACTTACCAACTATATTATATTACTTTGATCTCCTCTTACAGAGATGATTTCATCCAAACTGAGCCCTGACTTCTCAAGTTCAAACAACAACAAAAAAGCACATAAAGGAAAACACTAACTCTCTCAATGTCCTTTTCAAATTAAATTACATGTACGATTTCAACTAATAAAATGATTTCTTAGTGTGAGGCTCTTTGGGTTATTTATTTTATATTACCTAACAAGATTGTACATGCCCTGGTTTCTAATTTATTTACAGAAAGTTTTCAACTCCTTTGTTTCCTTTTCCCATTGATCTCCAGTCTTCTTACACACTCTTTTTAGACTTGAACAAATCACTAAGAATTTTAGTTATAGAGTCTAAAATATGCAAAGGTGGATTAACTTTTTTGAACAGACAAGTTATTATTATTTTTAAAGATTTTATTTATGTATTTGAGAAAGAGAGTTGAGGGGGAGGGAGTAGAGAAGGAGAGGGGCAGAGGAAGAAGTACACTCTCTACTGAGCAAGGAGTTGGATGTGGGGCTAGATCTCAGGATTCTGGGATCATGACCTGAGCTGACGCTTAACCGACTGAGCCAAGCAGGCATCCCACGTTATTATGTTTTTAAGAAAAGTACAGATTATTATAATGGCTATTTAAAATTGGGGGGAAATGGTTTAAATTCATAAAAATAATCATGCAATATGTAAACACTTCAAAATGAATAAATTCATAAAAATATTGAAACTGTTCAATGTAGTTAATAAACCTATGAGAAATAAAAATTTAAAAACATTAAACAAAGCATAAAAACTACAGTTAGTTTTAGCTATTATTGAACTCTCTATGAAATCAGTATGAATCACTCACTTCACAGCTTGTCCTAAGGTTCTACATTGTAAAAGCAGGTATTTATGATATTTAGCATTCCTTCTGTTTCCAAATACCTGGGTTCCTTTCCTTTAGATATGTAATGTGGGGGATCTCTGTGTGGCGCAGCGGTTTGGCGCCTGCCTTTGGCCCAGGGCATGATCCTGGAGACCTGGGATCGAATCCCACATCGGGCTCCCGGTGCATGGAGCCTGCTTCTCCCTCTGCCTGTGTCTCTGCCTCTCTCTCTCTTCTCTCTCTCTCTCTCTCTCTCTCTCTCTGACTATCATAAATAAATAAATAAATAAACAAAAATTAAAAAAAAAAGATATGTAATGTGGTTTCAGTCCTGAGTTTTGTATCTGCTATATTGTAAATACCTACATATTAATGAAAACCTTCAAGGGAAAAAAATGCAAAAATTCAAAATAGCAACGAGGCATTTTTACACATTGACTCTGAGAGAATACCATCGCTTCCTAAAAGTCAATGTGGCATTATCTACCAAAAATTAGAATGAGGAAGCCCTTCAAACCCAATTTGAGCGCTTCTAGGAATGAAAACTAAAGAGTAACTCGTACACTTACATAAACATGTTATGTTCAAAAACATATATTACAACATATATATAATACACAGTTCACACTAATTCCAAACCTGATTTCTCAACTTCCACCCCTAATGCCATTCTTCTACATTCTAGTGAATGGCCCCAGTTGGTCAAGCCAAATACCAAGGAGTCATTAATCACTCCTCTTCTGTAATCAATCTACCAAAAAGTCCTCTTTGTCCTTGAAAATATATTGAGAATCAGTCACTCCTTTAGATCCCTACTGATACCAACCCAGTCTGACTACCTTTATCTCTCACCTGGACTCTAGTAAAAAAAAAAACCTCCTAGCTGATTTTCTCCCATTTACTCTCATTCTTCAGAACAAAAGAAGCTAAAATGATCATTCTGAAACATAAGATCATGCACTTTCCTATGGAAAACTTTCTCTTTCTCTGGGCTCCTGGGCGGCTCAGTTCATTAAGTATCTGCCTTCTGCTCAGGTCATCATCTTGGGGTCCTGGGAAGAGCCCTGCATAGTAGTAGTCAGTAGTTGAGCTCCCTGTTCAGTGGGGAGTCTGCTTCTCCCTCTCCCTCGGCCCACCCTCCACACACACACACCCCCACCGCCGATCATGTGCTTCCTGCCCTCTCTCAAATAAAAAATCTTTTTAAAAAAATAAAAGGAAAACTTTCTCATGAATTCCCACTGCACTTAAAGGAAAATGTTAATCCCTCATGCTGGTGTCTACCTATCTCTCTAAATTCATCTCATGCCATGTCCTCCCCTTGCTTTGGTCATTGCTGTCCAAAGTGATGATTCCTAAAACCTACCAAGCTCTTTCCTCCTCCAAGGCCCTATATTATGTTTTTCTCCAGCCTGGAAAGCATCTTTAAAAAGTGGGTCCTCGTTATCCAGTTATTATCACAACGGCCTTCCTTTGTCTACGTATCTTCCCTTTTATACCCTATTACTCCATATAATTAGTTCCCTTAATCTTCAAATATCTTGTTTATTTGCTTATCAACTTTGTATTTCTTCCCACTACTGCATAAAATCCTAATGGCATGGAACTGTTTTATTAATTTGTTTTATTACACCATGTACAGTCTGTATCAATAAATATTCATTGTATGAGTTTTGATTTCCATTTGCCGATGATAAGCTATTATTTAAATTATGAATCTAATGTAGACTAAAAACTTCACATATTAGCCAATCCCTCTATCTAATCTACTTCAAGTAAAATAATAAAAAATATCACTAAGACATATCAAATGGAACTTAATGAAAACTTGCAGAGTACACCATAATGTACTAAAAGTTTGTGACCTGGTTTTAGCAATCTTCTTGGCTTTATCTCTAGCCCCCACCCACACACCTTAATTTGTGGTCATTTCCCATTGGGAAATAGAAATTGTTCAGATTAGCTGCAATTCAAAGTGTGTACAGCAAAGACATGAAGCTAGGAAGACTGCTGAAGGAAGATCAGGCTTTAGTACTCGAACAGGTGTTATGTTCTTGGTTAGAGAGTCAGAGATTTTATCAAAGTTCATATAGTTAAAGAACAAGTAGGGCATATGATCAACCGCAAGAGTGAGGACTTTGATTTAGTACAAAGATTACCACGTAAATGCTAAAAACACGGTATTTTCACTATCATGGAATTGGTATCATGTTTCTTATGTGACAGACTCAAGTTTAGATTTTACTTTACTGTTGAATTTCAGAGGTGTCTTACTAAAACCTAGTGTGCCTTGTTCCTAAAACTACCTCCAGTGAAATTATGTGACATTGGCCTTACAAAATCTTGTCCGATCTTAGATAATGTACTAGAATCTATAGAAGTGATCTTTCCACTGATAACATACTTTCCTTATCTCATGTACTCCAAAGTCTACCACACTTTGAAAACACCCTCTATTGGAAAATAAATAAATAAATAAATATTAAAAAAAAAACCTCTATTGGTCCTATTTGCTTGCATATTCTATTTCTATTTCCAAAATAAAGTCAGCTTACCTAATAAGCATACTCCCAAAACCACGTTGCATAATTGTTAAAAATATTATTGTTAGGTTGTTAAAAATATTTCCCCATTTGTTGTCATTCTATAATTTGGAAGTTGGTCTTAGGAATGTTAACACTTTAGGGGAACCTGGGCATCTGCCTTTGGCTCAGGTTGTGATCCCATGATCCCAGGGTCCTGGGATCAAGTCCCACATCAGGCTCCTCCCAGGGAGCCTGTTTTTCCCTCTGCCACTCTTTCTGTCTCTCTCATGAGTAAATAAATAAAATATTTAAATAAAAAGGAATGTTAACACATTAATATGTGGAGGCCGAGAAAAATTAAGGCCATCCCACCTAAAGTTTAGCATTAGCACAAGTACAGTCATCTTAGGCCCCTGTAAATAAGAGCTGAACTTTAAGGGGAAAAAAGTGCAGAATGTCCTCAATGTCCTCGGCAGGTAATCCCATATCAGAAAGACAACAGAGCCCACGCCCAGGGTAGAAAGTCCCATCTTAGAATTCTTCCATCCCTTCTGGAAATCCCCTAGACCAGCCTATAAAAAACCCAGCTGTAACCCACTTCGGGGTCCAAGTCCCTGCTCCACTGTGTTGGGTATACTTGGACCCAAGCTCGAGCTTGTAAATAAACCCTTGTGTGTTTGCATCGGTATCGGCTCCTTGGTGGTTTCTCGGATTTGCGATCTTGGGCACAAAAAATATTAATTTTCAATATTAAAACTCACAAATGTAACAACCTTAACCTTTTAAAAAGAATGCCTATATTGCGGCAGGCCTCAATTCTCCTTTCTTCTTACCCTAAGCCTTTTCTTCACTTACCTAACTCCTGAAAAGTTCATTTTATCGCTCTCTTTTTCTCAGTATTTGCTATTAATAGTCCCAGGAAAGACAATAAAAATGTTAAGGACTTCATTAGCATATCTCTCTGGCTCTATGTAATTGTTTTCCCATTAAAAATGATACTTTGGCAGGGAGGAGGAGTAGAAATACAGTCAAATTTCCTTTTGAGTCTTTGAATAATGTACTTCTCAACTAACCAGAGCAACACATTAGATAACTCATGAAGTTCTGAGTCTCTAAACTACAGTCAAAAGTACAGCTAGCTTTCAGTTTCTAGGGAAAGCTTAGTTCTCCTATAAATTTCACCTCTCTTTAACTCAGGAATCAGGAATCAGCATGTCCAGGGGCAGACCTGTAAGCTCAGCAAATAAAACCACAAAGGGGAAGTCTATAGGTCTTAGAACCCCAATGAGGTTACAAGCACAAACAAAATCGATCATTGCTTTTTGAGGAGGACTGTGCGTAATTTGGGGAATGAGTATCAAAGGTTTAATAATGCGAATAAATTCTGAATAATGCATTCTCTGTAATCTCCTATTTTACACAATTCACATCAAAACAAAGCAGTAAGCAGTGGAAGAGACGAAGTCCGTACCCTACTTACCTGTACAAAGCAGTTGGAATACAGAGTTAAAAGCCTTATTTTACAATACTTCTTAAATTAAAACAAAAACACAACAGGAACTTACCTTCAAAAAAGGACCCCAACTGGTATCTTCCACTAAAAAATTTTGGCATTGAAAATACGAGGGCTCCCAGTCCTATCATAAAGGATGCAAATGCAAGCCATCTTGGTTTGTGTCCTCTTTCACCAAAGAATGACACAAATAAAGATAACAAACAGAACGAGATATCATAGCTTGATGATATCAGGCCTGTCAGAGAACTCTTCATTTCATAGCGCTTCTCAATAGTGGAAATGCTAATATTTACGAGGCCATTTACTACAACACCTAAAAAGAGAGAAAAGAAAACATAAGTGGGTGATTTTTATTAACTTTACCATATGGGTTAAAAAAAAAAAACTTTACCATATAGGTTACAATTTTTAACACAGCATACTAACGTTTGGTTGCGACTGAAGTTTGGCTATGAATTTATTTTGATTTTTTTTTTTGTTAATGTACCAATTCTTAAAGTCTCAAAGTTTCAAGGCTAGCAATGCAAACATACTTCCTTAAAAATCAGTTTGCTTTTAAATGGTATACTTGTGAATTTTCAAGTGTCCATAAAATCGATGCTTACCACATACTAAATTGTAGCTAAGTTCATTTTTTCTCTATATGACAAATAAAAAATCATGAAGCCAGTTCACTAGAGAGACTCCAAGAGTAGCATACTCTCATAGACCTCACCCAGAAGAGTATAAAAAGTTCAAGGGACTCAAGAGGTCATTAAAGTAATGCCAAAAAAATAAAAATAAAAAATAAAAAAATAAAATAAATAAATAAATAAAGTAATGCCCAATTGTGTCCCAGGTTGTTCAGTTATTAAACATGTTTATATATAACTAGAGATGCTTCACTTAGTCTTATGAAAGGTGAAATTGAGCTCTCACACCTCTTTTCCTCTAACACTTTTATAGACATGAAAATTATAGTTTAAAAGATCTGAGAGCAAAAATAAACACACGCTATCTAAGAGTCATTTCAACCACTGGCAGTCTAAATCATACGCAAAAAAAAATTAAAAATATACACTTCATTGCTAATTACAACTCTGATGGAAAATACAAGGTACACAAGGAAAAGCTGGAAATCTAATTGTGAGTGGCTTAACAAAAAATATCTCCTCCACTAAATTTACAGGAGTTTAAACATCATTATAAATTGAAAATAAAAAGCATTGGATCAAAATACAGTTTTTAACTAGTTACCCATTTACTTAAGAAGATATCATGCATTTTCATTCATTCCTTAACAGAGTACACACAAGCCATGATTTCTACATCCTCTTTAAACTTTGCTTTATCAAGATTGTAACTGGAAATATATGTCAAGAAAATTGATATAATAAATTCTAAAAGTCCTAACATGATTTTACTTTTTTTTTCATGATTTTACTTGTATGCCAGTTTAATAAGTCAAAAGCTAATTTGCGATTCTTGAAATTTAAAAGTGTCTAATGTACCTGGGAATGGCATGCTTATGAGATAAATTTACCTAAGATTATGAAAATTTTCCCATCCAAAAATCACCTCCTCCCCACCCCCCCCCAAAAAAATCAACTCTCCAACACACTTGCTATACTGATTAAAGGTCCGTCATGAAAAACTCAGTTATGATAAAACTTGTCTAAGTAAACTTATAAACTCTTGGGGGTGGGGGGGAGGATAGCATTTTAAGCCTAAGCATACCACTCTGAATTCTATGTTACAAAAGTTCTAAGAACTCTCCCTTTTAAAAAGGAATTTCATGAAATATTGCATACTACATGTCTCTATTGTACATATATGAAAATAAGACGCACATTAGAAGGTAAGGTGCTAAGAGAAATCCTGTTTATCTTTGAGAAATTCTGAGTTAAGTAAACTACCCTGACACGTTTGGGGTTTTTGTTTTTCCCCAATCAAATGCTTCTTAATATACCATGGAAATGGACCTCCCAAGGATCATGTCTGAGAAACGTGGTAATGATCCAAACTTAAATGGTAATAATTCAACTTTAAACTGAAACAAGAACTTATTGGGTCACCTTCATCTAGGATTATGCTTCTTAAATTGGGAGCCTCTGGGTAGATGCAGCTAGTGGCTAAGGGGCACAGTTTTCTAGGAGTGCCAATAACCTTTGCTAATAATCTTATTTTATATTACATGGAAGTGCTCTGGAACAAATCATGTATTCTGGAACACAGAAATTTCAGAATATGTTTTAAGGTAAGACAAAGTTTACTTGTGTCCAACTTCTTTGAACTTTGCATTCCTTTGGCACCGAAATGTCTCACCACAGATTTTGGACAACTAAGACCAAGGCACTGAGAGAAGGCGAACTTGCGTGGGGACCAGAGAGATGGAAAGGGAAATAACTTCTTGGCTCAAAGCAATCGTTGGCAGAAGAGCTGCAGTTGACTTGCAACCAACGTTAACTTCCTTAACACCTATATGTGCAATAGCGAGGGGCCCTGAGTAAGGGGAGCAGGAATAAGAAGAGAGAGAATGTATTAAGATTTACTCTTCTGTTAATCTTTTAAAAAGAGCGTCTCCAAAAAATAATAAAATAAAATAAAATAAATAAAATTAAATAAAATAATGAAATAAAATAAAATATAAAGTAAAATAAAATAAATAAAATAAAATAAGAGCATCTCCAACTCCTCCCTCTCCCCAAAACTATTTCCCGGATGACTTTTCTTCCCATCAGCTCTGGGTAGCCTCTTTAACCAAATACTTTGAAACTAGGGTTCCACTGACCCAAGAAAATCTACAGGCCATCAGATTCTGAGTTGCAGCATTTATTTCCTTCAGGGTGCTCCATCTGGTACCCCCTCTCCTCGGGTCTGTCACCTTAGGGCAACTGCCCGTTTCTTTCTTTGACCCCGTGCATCAGGCAACTCAGCAACACCTGCACCTTCTCGAGGCTTTCTTTCCCGGGAGCCGCTCCTCCTCTACCACTCACTCCTCCAAACCAGGTGTAGACCGCAAACTCCCAAGGGTATAAACGTGGACTTTATCCGTCACTCCCAAGGGACCCTAAAGGAGCTCCCGGAACAAAACAGATCCTGGCCAGCTCCTCCGCGTTTCAGAAGCCTCGCCTTTCCGCGAGGTCTGCAGCCTCTGCTTGAACATCCCGGGGCTGCGGCTGCACCTGCACCTGCACCTGCACCTCCGCTCACGCCTCAACCTAAACACACTCGCGAAGCACGAACGCTGCCCCCGAGCCCCTTCCCCAACTACCCTACCCCCCCTGCAAATTGACCCTTCCTTTCCAGAAACAATAGATTTACACACACACCCAAAATAAGTAAATAAACGAATCCCTTTAGCGAGGAGTTTTAGCTAAATCGATAGGCGGCCGTCGCACGGAACGGTTACCCCAAGTGTAAACCGACCATTCCCAAGCCGAGGCTCCGGTAATTTCGACCTTCCTGGAAGGAATCGAATCGGGGAAACTGAGGTAGAACAGAAACGCAAAAAGGGGAAAAAAAAAAAAAAAAGTCGTACGGCCAGTGTGAAAAGTCGCTACTGAGGAAGAGCTGCCCCGGCTGGCGCCCCGCCCGCTGCACTTCGGTGGCCGGTGGCCGCAGGTCCCCAGTCGGGGCTGCCGCGCACCTGCCCCCCCCCGCCCCCGCGCACCTGCCCCCCCCCGCCCCCGCGCACCTGCCCCCGCGCACCAGCCGCGTGCCCCGCACCTGCCCCCCGCGGACCTGCCCCCCGCGCACCTGCCCCGCGCACCTGCCCCGCGCGGACCTGCGCCCCGCGCGCCCCCTCGCCCCCGCCGCGCCCCGGCCGCCCCGGCGGCGCCCGCACTACCTTGCGTGAGGGCCAGGAGGCAGTAGTAGAGCAGGAAGCCCGGAGGCGTGTTGCAGCGCTGGAGGCTCCGCGGCTGCAAGTCCCCGCACCCGCACGGGCCCTCCTCAAACTCGGCCAGCGGCTCGGGCCCGGGCGCCTCTCGGGAGGCACGGGGGCCGGCGGCCGGCGACGGGGGCCCCGGGGGCGGCGCGGTCGGCGGCCGGGCGGTGGGCGACAGGTCCGACACCTCCACGTGGGAGGGCGACGCCAGCGGGCGGCGCGGGGGCTCCGGGCTGGAGGCGACGAAAGCCGGGTTCTCGATGCCTCCGCCGCCCTGCATGGTCGCGCCGCGCTCTCCGCGGCCCCGCGCGTCGGGGCGCCCGAGACACCGGGCCGCTGGCTCCGCCCCCGCGCAGGTGGCAGCGCCCCCGTAAGGGCCCCGCCCCGCCCCGCCCGACCTAGGCCCCGCCCCTGCCCCGAGCTCGGCCCCGCCCCCGCCCCGACCTAGGCCCCGCCCCTGCCCCGAGTTATGCCCCGCCCCCGCCCCAAGCTAGGCCCCGCCCCCGTCCCAAGCTAGGCCCCGCCCACGCTCAGCTAGGCCCCGCCCCGAGCTAGGCCCCTCCCCGCCGCCCCGCCTCCGCCGCAGGGACCCTCTGCCGGGAGCTCGGCCCCCACCCCCACCCCCACCCTCGGCCTCGCCCCCGCTCCCGCCCCGCCCTCCGTCCGTCCTCCAGAGCCCCCTCCCGTGCCGCCGTCGCCCCGGGAGATCCTTGCAGAAACTGTCCCGCGGGTCCTCTTGGCAGGCCCCCGAGCCGGACAGGCGCTGCGCTGCCCGGAATCCCGCGCCCCAGATGCAGTGCTGGGGACTGGGAACTCCCCCTCATCCTCCCTGGAAACAGAAATCCCCACCCGCCGCCTCGCATTCCCGGCGTCCGGGACCTCGCGGCGTCAGCCGGTCTGATGTGATTACCCCAAAACTGAAGATCCAGAGATTCTTCATCTCCAAAAGCCTACATATATGTAGGATATGCTTTCCGATGATCCCGAAATTCTGAGTCTCCAAAAGCCTCCACGTGTAGGGTATGCTTACTGATGTAGACTGCATAGCTTAAGGTCAGCAAAGCTGATGATGTTCATGTGATCATGGCTACCTGTGGAATATATTTAAAAACACACACTGGGAACAACCTAACACCGTTAGGCAGTAGTTACAATTCATTCGTTCTTTCACTCGTTCATTCATCAAAAAATGGTAGATCAGGGAGGGGCGCCTGGGTGGCTCAGTCCTGGGGTGGGCCTTTGGACTCAGGTCATGATGTCAGGGTCCTGGAATCAAGCCTCAAGTCAGGCTCCCTCCCTGCCCGGCGGGAAGTCCGCTCCTCCCTCTCCCTCTTGTGCTCTTGGGCTCTCTCTAATAAAAATAAATAAATAATTTTTTTAGATGATGGTCAGGAAAAGCCTCATTGAGTTTGAGCAAAAACCTCAAGGGGATAAAGGGGGGAGTCCCATGTGCAGAATAGAGTGGCTGGGGTGAATGAAATGGTTGGAGAACAATAGCAGTTGAGGCAGGGGGAGGCATGCTGTTGGTGAAGAAGTGACTGGGGGTAAACCTCGGAGGCCATCATGAGGACTTTGGCTTCCATGGCCAGTGGAACAGGAAGGTTTGAAACCAAGGACTGACATGATCATGACATGATCAGGCTCTCAAAGGACCCACGCTCTTTGCTTTCTAAAGATATACCAATATATTTAAATATATTAAATACTAAAGTAATATATTTTAAACGAAGACATTTTAAAACTGCATCAATATCTCAAGATGTTGATCTTACCCTAAATGAAATGTTGATTGCAATAAGGGACATAATATAAGTCACATAAATTTCCTTTTTGCTGGGTAATCAGGGCTACACACACAAAGCTGTTATGTTTCATAAGACTGCAGAGTATTAAGGAAGCTACTTCCTCAAATCTAATTGTTGATTATAAAAGGAACTTCAAAACAATGTGTCTGGACTACGTTTAGCAAAGTTGAGAGGTCTCAGATGCTCCTAGATAATTTACATGCTGAATTATATTGTTTTCAATACATAATACTATTATTCATTTATAAGGGTCCCTTCATTAAAAGATTGCTTCACTAAATATTAATCAGTGAAGTTCTGGAGAGAGTTTCCAGGTTGTGCTGTCTTCATTTAACACCTGGCTGATTGCCTGTCCAAGAAGCTACTTCTAGATTCAGTGCTAGTACTTCCTGAATAGCCACGATTGGGTAGTACATGATGATGGTATCCATTCCCAGAGAAGAGAATACAGTGATGGAAAGGTTACCCCTCATCCTAAACCAGGATGTGCTTATTTCTTTTTACTTTAGTCCCTAACCTTGTTTAAAATAGTCTAGAAGAAGGCTTTCAAGCACCATCACTTAGTTATGAGATAAACTAGAATTCAGAAGAAAATACACAGTGCATGATACATGATATCTACTATTTTGTGAAAATTGTATTTCAATTATATCTGTTTTATTTACTGAACTTAGGGATCAAGATAAAAATTACATGTATCTTACTTTGAACAGATATACATCCTGTCCCTAGATCTCTGACAGTCTAGACTGGCCAAGAACATAGAGATGGAGTAGAAGTAGGAACTATTATTTTTTAAATTTCTTCTCTATATTCCATTATGTTTTTAAAGATTTTATTTATTTATTTATTTATTTATTTATTTATTTATTTATTTATTTATGATAGAGAGACAGAGAGAGGAAGAGACCCAGGCAGAGGGAGAAGCAGGCTCCATGCCTGGAGCCCGATGTGGGACTTGATTCCGGGACTCCAGGATCGCGCCCTGAGCCAAAGGCAGGTGCTAAACCACTGAGCCACCCAGAGATCCCCTCTATATTCCATTATTAATCCTTACTAGAGCAATACCTATTATCAACATGTTACATATTAAAGAATCTATACTTCCAGAGAGGATTGGTAACTCTCCTAAAGTTATACAGCTAGTAAATGGCCTGACACTTGTGCAGGACCTGAACTCAAAGTTCTCTCAGTCAGATATCCTCCCTCAACCTTGCATTTTCTCTCTTTGAATTGCTACAGCCTATCACTGTCCGGTAGAATTTTTTCTAACAGTTCTAAGAGATCAACAGTCATGTGATCTGATGTTGATAAGGATTGGAAGACTAAGTCTGCTCTGAACTGCAGATATTCAGATTTTACAGATATGCAAATTAGGCTTGATATGGAATCTCCATAGCCTTCTATTGTAAAAAGTTTCCACAGAAATGGACTTAGAGTGATGCCTAAATGTGTAAATATATGTATTATCACCATTTTATCTATGAAATAATTTAAACAACCAGCAAATTTTGCTTTGACGAAATATGATTAAACACAGCCATGGCTTAAGAACTCTTTTGCAGCTTTGAATTAACAAATTCAAATACACTACCAAAATCAAAGTAGCATAATCATCGTGCACTTAAATTCATCCTGAGTAAGGAGAAATCTGCACTCTTGCAGTGCTAGAGAGTAGAACTTTACTTAAAGATTAGTGAAAGTGCTGTTGCTTCATCTTAAATACTTCTTGCTCTTACTGAAAGTGTTATCAACACCACTTTCCTGTTCCCTTACATCTTTTGTGCTGCAATGATGGAAGGAGGGGGGTTCATGTTTGCAACAAAGACAAAACGAAGCAGAATAAATTTGTATTGATTTTTTTTCCTTATAATTCTGTGGATAGTTGTTTTTTAATTCTTTGGTCAATATAGGGTAAAGTCAAAATACACCATGTTAAATTTCAGAAGGTAATTAATCAATTTCTATTCTTTTACTGGATTTCATTTGCTGAATTCTTAAAGGGTAGAGAATGGAATAAAGAATAGTATCCTAATTTTATGGTAAAGCTTCAACAATGTACACAAGAGCAGATGTCCTTGCCTAGGGACCATTCTCTGGAATGTGCCATAGGTCTTTCCCTTCAGGAATTGGATAACAACAAGATAAAGTGGCTTCATAACAGAAGCTATCAAGATTATTCACTAACTCCCCTTGCCTGATTCCATGCCTAAAAGAAATCTTATCATTATATGTTGGCCTTCCAGGTAGATATACCTATAGGATGGAAAAATACTAATATGCCTATCTTGAGCACTTTACCATTTTTCTTTCTGTGTGCTTTTAATAGTCTATTAGTTCCCTTCCAATTGTAAACTGGATGTAAATCCTTTAGTAGTAAAACACTATGATGTTCACAGAATATTAAAATCATAGGACCTTGAGAGAGCCTGAATACAAAGATGGTCAAGTGCAGATTTTATTGAGGTGATTAAAAATCCCACTATTAAGGACTTATTAATACCACTGGATCTTATATTTATTAAATAAAAGAAATGGCACAATCTAAGAGATCTTCTTAGTATTATTCATTTGTCTTTTTTATTTTAAATGCCCTATAAAATGCATAATTAAAATAAATCATTTCTAAGAAAAAATTTAGTGCTGAACTAGATTATTTTTAAGACTTTTTTGATTGCAGTCACACAGAAAGATACATTTATGTTTCAAAAATATTACAATTATATTTTCTTTAGTAATAGTAATCATAAATCTATGGTAAGATGAATATCCATAAACATGTATGATTATAATTTTAAAAAGGAAAACGTGTAAACATTTTATACTATAATCCCATAAGAAAGATAACCCAGTAGGCAGTGAAAAATGCATACTAGTGTAAACTTTACTGTACAGTATTGTTAAGCTTTTTACTGATAAGTGATTATTATTATAATTTACTCAAAACACTGGGAATTTTATAGGAGGATATTTATGATACAAATATCACACTCGGTATAGTGACAATGGCATAGTTGGGTTTATATATAAATCAAGAAATGCTTTAAACTGAAGAAATTATCCTATAGCAAATGAACAATTAGGGTAATATTATAAATTATATTTCTTTGCTACCCAAGATCTGATTGTGATGCCAGGAAAACAGTCTCCAATATTATGATTTTATATAATTTGCATAATCACAATGTCATTATCATGACAAAATACCAGCTTTACCAAATAGAAAAACAGCCATGCTGCCACTCTAATCCCATCATTCCTATAATTTTACCACTACTGTTTCTTAACAAAGTAGATGATGGTGGTTATTAGAATTTAGATTTATGGAGCAACAAGGGACATCAAGATGTTATTTGTTCCAGCAGCCTGTTTCTACGCAGATTAATGTTAAATGCACCTAAAAGCTCCATGCAATCAGAAGCAGGAAAAAGGCCAGTAACAGGTGGAGAGATAGTGGTGAGTGAGGATATTCTTTCATAGTAGTCTTTTTACAATTTGTGGGTAGTTGGT